AACGCCGGGTTCGCTATAGCGGACCCAGAGCTGACCCAGAGCGAACCCGAAGCGAACCCAGGGCGCACCCAAAATTTCTGAAAGCTGACCCGTAGCGGACCCAAAGCGAACCCAGAAAGCGAACCCGGGGTGCGCTTTGGGTTCGCTCTGGTGTTAGGTTGTATCTGGTCGGTACTGTAGAGTAAAAATTTCCCAACATGATAGTTCCCTGTCCTAGTAGCATCATAACCCTCGACCAAGTGGTTATTAAAATCACTTCTCTGATAAAAACATCCTTTGCTTATTACAACATTCCCTTCAGCCCGCAGATGCTATATATCAAAATTAGTTGAAATTGGTTCAACATTTCAAGAGAAGAAGATTAAAGTGTTCAAAAGTTTACGACGATGGACGAAAACAGATACAAAGAGGTTCTCAGAAGACCTTAAAAAATACCTAACAAATTAGATGTACATGTATGTAAATAACAAAAATACAATTCATCATTTACTATTGTTTCACGAGTTTACAATTAAATCCTTTCATTGACTAGGTGGGTTTTTCTGATTACTCTGGGATTCTTTTCTCTTTATGGTGTGTTACTGATCCAAGCGTCATCTTATCGTATGGAACTCATGATGTGCACTTTGACACTTTTCTCCATTAGCATGCTTTGTTACATCGTCTCTGATCTAGACTCTCCATTTTCCGGTTTCTTCCGTATCGACATTTCTATCATTGTTGACGTCATATACAGGTTAGAGGTCATGCACAAGATGGCGTCTCTTGGATTTGAGGAGACTGTATGCTATCCCGACAGTTCACGTTTTCAACAGAAGAGATATAACAGTGAGGAGAAAGTGAATGACCCTACCGTGTACATTTAGTCAGTGTGTTAAATGAAGTCAGAAATCTCATTTACACAAAATTAATATGTTGTAGATAATAAATTGTTGATATTTCTAGGTGTAATTAAGGATATTCCTTATAGAATAAAGAATAAAGAAATAATGATTGACTTATCTATTTTGTTTAGATTAAAACATTGATACCAACAGAAAGATTTACATAACCTTGAAGTACTGCCAACCTCAGTACTTTGTTAATTGCATGAATCAGATTTGATGATAATATAGGAAGTACTTGTACGTTAAATTAAAGAAAAAGTAACAATGGCATTAAATGCACATATATTTATAGTGTATAAGGATTCTGGGCTGAAAATGATCCTTATCGTGGCGATAAAAATACTCTAAGTTTACTATAACTATTGCCTGTGATACTTATGGTACTGATTTGTAATGCGGGTGTTTTTATGGTGCCGATGATTACACAACAAAATGATAAAACGTTAACGTCTCTAGAGATGTACATGAAATGCTTCTAATTGTATTAAAGCATTCAAGAAAGAAGATGATCATTTATAATATTTTTTTTTCTAATTCTTTTGTTTTAATGAGATGAATTACAAGCTTTCATATACAAAGCATGAACAGATTTACTTTGACGTCTCTTTTAGATGACCAAAATCACGATCGTTTCTTTATAAGTTGACAAAAAGCTAGTGTTATTTCAGCTGAACTAGCCACTTGGGCATATAATGCTGATGTCAGTGAGGGTGATGATTATATAACAAAATGATAAAACGTTTATGCTTCCTGAGAAGTACATAAAATGCCTCTAGTTGTAGTTAAGCATTTAAGTAAGATGATCACATATAATATTGTTTCTTTTCCCTATTTCTATTCTTACAATGAGATAATTTACATACTTTCATATACAAAGCATAAACATAATTACATCGATGTCTCTTTTAAATGACCAGGATCGAGTTGCTAATTAATAAAATCTGATATAATTTAAGCTGAACTAACCATTTGGGGCACTATTCTTTAGCCTGTACAAGGTGAATGATTGTTTATTATTCCGTTCAATGTAGTGACCTTAACCTGTATTCTGAATACATCTATTATATCTCATCAATGACATTAATTGTACATAATTACATACAGAAACTACACTGTTAGAGGCTCAAATTCATGGATAGTACATCCTATGTATTCAAGTAGGCATTTTTTATGAAGCTTGTGTCAGACCTACAAAATACATCTATTTAGATAATCATATTCAATTATATATTTATTATATGGAGATGCAGTTTTTTTGTTAGCTCACTTGAGCTGAAAGCTCAAGTGAGCTTTTCTAATCACCCATTGTCCGTCGTCCGTCCGTCTGTCCGTCTGTGCGTCCGTCCGTCTGTAAACTTTTCACATTTTTAACTTCTTCTCAAGAACCACTAAGCCAATTTTTACCAAACTTGCCACAAAGTATACTTGGGTAAAGGGGAGTTTAAATTGTTAAAATAAAGGACCAAGTCTCCGTACAAGGGGAGATAATCAAGAAAAGACAAAAATAGGATGGGGTCATTAAAAAATCTTCTTCTAAAGAACCACTGGGCCAGAATAGCTGAAACTTATATGGAAACATTCTGGGATAGTGTAAATTCTAAATTGTTAAAATCATGACCCCCGGGGGTAGGGCGGGGCCACAATAGGGAATCCAAGTTTTACATCGAAATATATAAGAAAAATCTTTAAAAATCCTCTTCTCAAGAACCACTGGACAAGAAAAGCTGAAACTTAATTATTCAAATCATGACCCCCTGGGGGGTAGGGCGGGGCCACAATAGGCATAACAAAGGGGAAATCTGGTAAAGAACAGCATGGTCAAAGTTACTCAGATGAGCGATGTGGCCCATGGGCCTCTTGTTCGTTTAAATTTTGATGTTTTACCACATGGAAAATATCTTACACATGTACATATTATTTTATAAAGTATAAATACACTTAATGATTTAGATTTTCAGTTGTCCTGTCAAAGCAATCACTGTTTTGTCCAGAAATTCATTCTGAAGACAAATACATTGGATTTAATCCATATACATCTACACGGTACAAGTTACAGACGGAACAACCTCATATAATTAAGTTGTAGAATTTATTTTGGAAGAAGGGATAGTAAATGGAGTCATTGCAAAGAATAAATCCAGATGACAGGATCATAATTATCTTCCGAAATACGCTGCCTTTAAAGTGACAGCGGCGCATCTCATCAAAAAACGGACTTGATAAAATTTTCCTACAAGATTTGGAATTTTTTTACTACTCATAAATATATAAAATTTCAGAAAATTACAACTTTCACAATTAAATATTTTTGATTATTTCATTAAAATTAATAGTTATTTATGGGACGTAAATATATACATCGCAACGTGTTCCGGGTTCTACATTCCATGCCATGCACGCATGCGTAGTTTTCATAAACAAAACAGCATGGTAAGAGAGGGAAGCCCGGTAGGCCTGCTACATTCACAAAGTCGACCAAAAAGAAAAAGAAACTGAAAATAGAGCTTGAAAAAGCAACTTTTCTGACTAAAATTTAGTTTGGGGATTAATATAATCGTTGAATAAGGAAGAAACGGGAACTCGGCGACACTCACGCAGAGCTCGCGAGGGTTCTACTCTACAGGTTTGTTGATACTTGTTATCAGTTCTCATTTTTCCATCGCTTTCAAAGGAAAAAAAATAGTGTAAACTCAACATAAAAATACACCTATGACTTATAAACATTGTTGCCATTTGAAGTGATAATTTTTTTAACTGTGCAGAAAAATATTTTGTTTGATATTTGCCGCGATAACGTATGTCTTGGTTGTTTTTCCTTTCTCGGACCCCAATACACCAATACACCCCAATACACAAAACGTCAACATTTGTACTTTTAATTCTTTAAATTCGCCTGAAAGCAGACTAAAATTTTTAAAATTATTTTAGATTATTTCATCAGAAAGATATGATAATTTGCTTTTGACAATTGCTTTTACCTCATATTCATTATAATTGTAAACTCTACAGTGTAGGCACATGCTGTTTTAGAATTCACGTGGTACAAAATATAAAGATCTAAGATTGCTCCAGTTTGTACGAACCTTGATTTTCCGGAAGATTCTAATTACGTTACTTTTGTATGAGGAGAGAATATTTTTGTTTCTCAAACTGCTTACTTTATTTCTTATTGATATATATGGTAAATTTGAATGAAAAAGCACACGTTTTGCAGCCGTACTGTCGCTTTAAATGTGTGCATCGGTGATATAAATATGTATGCAAGCTCCACATATGTTTAGATCTATTGAATGGATATGTAATATCATGCTCTACGTACGAACAATTCTAAAACAAGGCAATCTATTGACAAACAATTTGATGAAACAAAAATATCAACAGTATCGTTTAAAGTCATAATTAAGTAGGTTCTATGGTCGATACAATGACCTAGTCAGCAAACACAATCTATCGTTAAGTCAAATGCTGACTGACTTTTCTCATATTAATTGTGAGGCCTTTTTTCACACAATGAATTTTCTGTTGATTTTTCCGTTTCTCCCGATCATGACAAGGAGCACAGGGTGGGTGTGACCGGTCGGCAGGGGATGCTCACTCCTCTATGGCATCTGATACAACCTCTATTGTTTTAGAGGTTCGTGTTTGCTCTGCTCCTGAATTGTATTGTTTGAATGGACTTCTGAGCTTGAATACTGTTCGTTATCTTCGTATTTAATAGAAATTATATTCTTGCATCGGACCTCTAGAAATAAGCAGTACAATGTATCTCTTTCCAATTGCATTATCGATGGTGTTTTCCATTTCTTGTTTCACGTACCTGTCTTACAACTAAAATTTATTTCAGTGATCAAGAAATTGTCATTATTATGCTGCGTACGTAATAAATCTACTTAGTTATGTTCACAAAAATGTTTAGATATAGGCAGTGTTAACCCCTCTATAAATGTTTAATTGTTTAAACGCCCTTGTTCATCCTCTTTTTCTCTAATAACCTTTGTGCACTGTTTTCTTTCCCTCATTGTCCATTTAGATCCTTAATACTATATTTTTCTTGTGGTCTGTTTTTAACCTCACTTTCAGTTTGTTATTCGTTTTATAAATTGTAAAACTAAAATGTTATTATATAAGTTTCTGTCCCGCGTGTTCTTGTTTGTAGTCCCTTTTTACTCAGTAGAGTCCGTATTTAAACACGAGGTGAAGCCCGATTGTGCTGCTTCTGAGAAGGAATGCTCTTTTGACTTTCACGTGAATTACATTACGAGTATGGTCTCTTACAACTTGTCGACTGGTGAAGGATATCCTGTTTTTATACGAAACGGAACTTTTTTCAAGAAATGTTCCAGTGATGTTGTGTCTATAGCCCGTCCTTTTGCTGAGATTCCATTGACATACGAAGGTAAGCTTACTCGGATTTATGAAATGTCAATTTTTTGTTTAATGAAATAATGATTATCATAAAAGATGCAGTAAAACTTGGTTATATTGAACTCAATTATAACGGACTTTCGATTATAGTGAACTTTTATAACAATTCCATGGAAGCCTTTTTCAATATGTTCCTTGTATAGATATGTCGGCTTCCTTAAAGCTGAGTTTTGCTGTTTTTATTTTTGGACTTCCAAGGTATATTATCAACTTCAAGTATTCTTTAAATGATATATGTAAATCTCTTAATCTTTTCTCTACACCTATAGCTTCATAGTAATAATTTGAACGAACATCTCACTATATTACATGTATCAATACAACAAAGACCTCTTGAATATTAATGTGTTGATCTGCAGTCCTGTTGATCTTCAGAAAAAAAATCAAAGTATTTTTGTGTCACAAAAGCAGAAATTAATCTTCATCTTTTAACTAGAAAAATGAATTATTAAGTAAATATTGAGAACAAGTGGGAAAGATATAATTTTAATATATAATTCATTGATACATTGATACATTCATTAATCCCCTTTACTATGAATTACCTTGGCCTTTCTTCTTTCTTTTTATAGAAATGGAAGATGTCGTAACAGCGGATGGAAACTATAAATTCATGTATTCCATAAACAAACAATTCCCGGCCCCAACAATTGTTGTAGATGAGAATCAAAAAGTAAGAAATTTTAACACGTGTGTTGATTTACTCGAAGAACTAAAATAGAGAAAACTACAAACCCTTTTCTTTATCTCATCCTGTATCAGCCAAAGACAGCAATATAAGCCAGTTTGAAAAATTACTGGAAAAAATACTTTCACAATTATTAACTAATCACGAATTATTTTTATAATATCAAATTACAGAATTTAAAGTACTTTTCTATGAGAATATGAATGAAAATGTGTTATTACAGTTGAGTTTTTTAAAGGTTAAATTTAAATGGGGTGTGATATGCATCTATCAGCTCTGCTAATCAATATCAGTGGTGCTAGATAAGTATCAGCACTTAAAGCTGATACGGCCATTGTACAGTAAGTTAAAAAAGCATAAAAAAAACAATATATTTATTACTAATTATGTACTAATAGATTTAAAAATTCATCTTATGGACTACTACCCAGGTAAAAGTTCGTATTCACAATGACCTTGTGAATGAAGCTGTGACCTTTCACTGGCACGGAATGTTCCAGAAGGAAACACCATGGATGGATGGAGTCTCTATGTTAACTCAGTGTCCCATACTTCCGGGGCAGACCTTTACTTATGAGTAAGTAGGTTAAGTAAAACATTATTATATTATCAGAATAGATAGAAATATTGATGAAATAGTTTGTAAGATACTTGATATATATTAGATTATGTTTGTCTTACGGTATCGTTGTAGCTTAAGTGTGAAATGACAAAGTGCCAATAAAACCTTTATTTATTTTGATATTTATTCAGGTTCATAGCTAGTCCACGAGGAACACATTGGTACCATTCACATCATGGAGCGATGAGAACTTCCGGTCTAGCTGGTGCTCTCATTGTACTTCCCCGACAGAAAACGGAGGTAAAGGGTTTTTTTCCTGTGTAGAACATTGCACGTTAAGAGTCTGTAGCAAAACACATAAAAAACACCATGAGTCAAAAATTTGTACTTTTCATCTTTATTTAACTATTTATAATTTATTATTTTTTTTCAGAATGTTATATTTATAGGAAGACAAATTATACGTACAATTTTCCTCCAAAACGGCTATGATAGGTCATTTTATATGCAAGCTACATCAGTTACTACACATTTAAGACTGATCAAATGATAGCCCCTGGGGTAGGATGGGATCAAAATTGAAGGAGAAAATTTTAAAAGGGAATGACAAGTATAAAAAAGCTTTAAAAAAACAAAAACAAAAAAAAAAAAAAAAAAAAAAAAAAACACCGAACCAAGGTTATACAAGAATCTGCATGTGATGTACCTTTAAGTTCATTTCCACATGAAATAGGTTGCACAACAATGGGAGAGTATCAATTTCAAATCATGGCCCCTGAGTGCAGGTTTTGATCACAATATGAAGATTTTTTAGAAATATACAGGAAAAAATAATTCTAAAATTTTCTTAACAATATTAGAGCGAATGAAACTTAGGTGAGCATTGAGGCTCATCGGCCTACTATTCTGTAATTATTTTTGAAAGTTGAGGAATTTGTTATGTGTCGAGAATAATAATATTTCAGAGATACGACATTCCCAAAGTTGCCAACGATGTTGTTCTTATGGTGCAAGAATGGAATTCTAAGATGAGTGATGCACAACTTGTCAACATTCAGAAGTGGTACATGCTATCGTAAGTTATCGTTAGCTTTTGTAAACTATCGTAATATATATTAATATTATAAACTATCATAAGTTATCGTAAATTATCGCAAAATATCACGCGATCGAAACTATCGGAAAGTTATCGTTATATTCCCTACGCACAAGGATTGTACGTTGTTTAACATTCCATTCGAGACTTTTTTACTCAATTAGAAACGTGACCATGTACCGGTGAGTGCTTCAAATTTAGATCTTTACTCGGCGCTCATGACCATTGAGCTCTGAGAGATCTTGATCGTGCCAACGCCTGTTGTGACACGGGCCTAGGTTTTTAAGGTTTTATCCTAATGATCAGCAAATTTCACTTTAAAGTGCTGAGCAGAGCACATGGTGAAGGAACAGTTAATACCTATTTTTTGTCGAATTAGGTCAGTCGCGACCGGTGTTTGAACCCACGACCTTCCGATCACTGAGCAAGCGCGAAGGTTTAGGAAAAACCAGATTACTTTATTTATTAACCATGGTTATATGTAAAATTCTACTTACAACAAGCATTCTAGGAGAAATAATGAATACTACTTCCTAACATGTTTGTATAGTTTGATTCCCCTTGAAAATTAAATCTTCAAGTTCAAAGGCTGCATTCCGTAATTAAAACATGATTGTGACGTAAACCTTTTGTTTGTGTTGTCCATTCTATAGCTTAATGTTGAGCTAACTCCTCAAACAATCCATTAAGTTACCTGTAAGTGTCCATTCTTTTTGGAAAACTGTCCATTCTTCTAAGAATGGATAGTTAAAACAAACAGAATGGACAGTTAAAACAAACAGAATGGAGAGTTACAGGAAAACTTTGGAATGTGTTCAAGAGGGAGACAAAAACAAATACATTAAATACTTTTTAATTCACATGTAAATAACAAAAAGAACGCCGAGATCAAAGTTAATCCAGAACACAATGTCTGCACAGCATCCACTCGATTTTACTCTATTAAATCCATGAATGATGCACATTAATTCAATACCCAAAACTTAATTTCCACAAAACTTGAATTCAAATGACACAATTTCACATTTGATTTAAATTTTGGAAAAATCATTCCCTCGATGAGAATTCATTTTCAGATAGAAGTGCGTCTAATATTAAATTCTCCACCCAGAAAACAGTTTGCACCATGAACACTACACTGCTGCAGTTAATATTTCGGTAGAAAATGAATAAAAATGAAACACTTCCAGATTTGATTTGAAAAATATTTCAGGTCGAAGATTGGCTCGTGGCTAATCCAACACTCGGAACACAATTTGCATCTCACCATTATACTGCTGCAGTTATTATATCCTCAAAAATAGAATTAAAATAAAACATTTCCAGGTTTGATTTGAATTTGATCATCTGTATCTGTCGTCGAAGTTCATTTTGGGGTCAAAATTTGGCTAATATTTCTTTTACTCTTACTTTTCTGTTTCCAGATCCAAATATCACTAATTTTGTGCATAGTGCAAGGTTTATACTCTCTCCGTCACAGGAAAACATGTATGCTTTTACAACGCAAACTGTAAACTGATTTTGAAGCATCGCATACTTGTATAAATACTAGTATCCCACAAAATCCACCTGTAGCTGTCCATTCTTAAGATAAAGACCTTTTGTTATTTCCATCAGGAAACACAATGGCTATTCAACAAATTGCTCTGCATCCCTCACAGGTACTTGTGGACAGGAACCCCCCCCCCCCTCCAATATGCCCCACAGGTCAAAAAATATTTTTATGTATTTTTTTCATAAATTATTCTTCTAGTACACATTTACAATGCATTCCATAAGAAAAATCCAAAAAAATAACGCAGAATTAACGTTTTACTAAAAAATCATACCCGCGGTATTATAAAATAGAGAAGGTAAGTCACTTCCATTTGTTTACACTGGACCCCTCTTGGATATCAGGCCCGAAATATCATTTACCTAATACATGTCACCGAAATGTGTCATGATATCTTGTTTCGGTAGATATTTTTGTCTTTAATCGTGCTATTTAATTGCCCAGGCATCCCATAATAATCCGAGTATTCATCGTCAAACGTGAAAAATGCTACAAGATTTGGAAATGTCAGAGTAGAAATTAGTGATGCAAAAACGACACCTAGCGTGTAACTCTCGAGTTCCGAGTGTTATAGAACTAAGGGAAAAGTCAGAGGTCTACGAAAAAGTTCGGGAAAATTTTGATAAAGAAGTCGAAAGTGATTCATTAGAATTAAATTCTGCTTAAGATTTTCGAGATGAGCGAGGGTAGTCGTCAATATTCCCTTTAAAGGATGTTATCATTGATACCAAGTAGCGGTTTAAAAATCGCTTAAAAATTTATTTACAACTTACAAGATATGTAACCCCCCCCCCCCACTCCACCTCGACCGTCTTCCCCATCTGCGTGGACATGGATTTTTCATTAAATTGTGTCTTTGGAAAGGTGGATATCCGTTAAATTAATGTGGTAGTAAATATAATATTTAGAATGATAAACTAGTTTTAAAAATAAGTAAAGACAGAAATGTGATTAACTGTACAAAAAAATCTCTTTGTTTCCCCATTTGGTATGAATTCGCTACATGTATTTAATCAATATTGATTAATTTGGGGACGGGGGCTGTGCAACGTCATTACAAGTTACAGTTTTGGAGAAAAACAAATTGACCGGTTGATGAATGGTTGTACAACCCATGCAATATTTAAACGTCAATTGCTACGTAATACAAGTTGCAATTATCTAACTATGACTGTTAGAAAAGACGTACCTAAAGAACTTTTTTAAAAGTCTTTATTTTATAGAAGTTAAGCTTCCGTTTGTTCAATTAAAATAATAGCAGCTTGATATGTATTAAATCAAGACCAGAAATAAACTCAGCAGTGCGACGCGAAAGTATAGAAGAGCATGAAAATTATTTTTTTAAAAGAATGGGGTTCTGATTTTCATTCTTAAGAATTAATTTTGAAAAGACTCACATTTAAATTCCTTGGCATATGATAATCATCGCATAAGAATATTAAAAAATACTAGGGATGGCAACGAATATTCGAACATTCGAATATTCATTCGATGAGTTGATATTCGAATATGAATTTAAGATTCGAATATTCGGTGTTTTTCATATTTCATAAAAAGAAGTACTGTGATTAATAAATTTTGATTAGAACAGTGCAGAACAGTGCAGAATTATCCCTGTTTAATTTACTAGCGATCAATTTCGATCGCCTGATTTCTTTCACAACTTTCTTATGTAATAGAATTTCAAAATTACATGGATTTTAGTAGTATATAGTGATCGTTTTTATGCTACTTTGAGGTGCAAGTTTTTGAGGTGCACATATCTATGGTGAATCATGCTCTAAACAGGCCCACGGATGTTATCCGGATGTTAATTATTGATGAAAATGAGGTAATGAAGGAAACAAACCTGGTTGGTTATTGGCAATAGTTAGGTGTGATTATGAATATAGTGATGATAATTAGGTATATGGGAAATTAAACCCGGATGATTATAAGTAATTAAAAGAAAAGAGTCAGTCTAATTATGAACAATGAGATATAATGAGGATAAATACTATAAGGTTATATAATTTGATAACGGATATGACATCATAAAGTTACTAATTTCCGTAAACGTCTCCAGTATTTTGTCATTTAACCGCTAGCATTCACAGTGACAACATGTTCTCTTCTTGTTGTAAGTTAGCATTAGAAAATGACCGCTTTATTGAGGTATACACTACGAAAAACAACGAAAAAAGAGAAGATCTACGCGAATGGAAAACGGATCGCTATCCAACAAAGAAGGGGATTAGTTTAAGGCTGGACCTTTTTAAATCATTTGCACTCGCTTTCGACATGATTGATGCAGCTTTGAATAAAAAAGAAGAGCTGAACTACCACATGGGTTCTAACATTTTCTGTATAATTCAACAAGACAATCCGTGTGTGGACATCAGGCAATACTGGCGACCACCGGACAAAGAAGTGCTCGTTCCAACAAAAAAGGGACTGTGTCTTCGACCTGTGGAGTACAGAACACTTAAATCCCACATGGATGAAATAGAAAAAGTCATCCCTGAGCTCGAATCGCTTGTTCCTTGTTTTTTGCGCGAGGATCATATGAACCAATTAGGCATGCTCCGATGTCCTAATTGTAACCCGCTGGAGTATGTGAACTGGTGAGAAGACACTTTTTAAAGACTTTCATAACTTAATATTCATCATTATTGTTTTATGTATCATTTGTAGTAAAATCATTGTAAATATGTTGCATATTACTTGTGTGTGCGCATGTGTGAAAAGACGTACAAGATTCTGAAGGCAACATTCACAAATGACAATGATTTAAACAATATGAACATTGCTTGTGAGTAAAAGATATGGAAATATAATTATGTATACAGATGTAATAAACATGTTAATTTAAACGTTTATGAATCTTCATTGTTATTTAATCATATGATTCAGCTAGGATATACATATACATGTATGTATATATATTCCTCAATAACTTATGGTCGATTGATTTGCTTGAATAATGAGGCTGACAAACGTCGTATACCAAGGAGACATGAATTGTGTTATTAATCTTAAACAACTGGCAACCCGTTTAATTAACGTGCGGTATGATCCACTCAAATTTCCAGGGGTTATTTTTCAACATAGAAAAATAGGAGGGAACTGTTTAATATTTTCAAATGGAAAGATAAATTGCAACGGAGCATGCGAAAGTTTTAATACTGGACTGAAACGACTGAGAAGGTATGCTCGCTACATTCAACGAATTGGATATGACGTCGTACTTACTAACGTACACATTGTCACCGCTTCCGCGTTTCACAAACTATCTAGTCGTTTAGATGTAAATTCAATTTCTCCCGCCTTAAACTTTTCTTATGATCCTGAATTATTTCCTGCTGTAATGTTGCGACGAAATGCTATTCATTTTACATGTCACTTAAGTGGGAGCGTGTTAATTACTGGCATAAAACGACTTAAG